GGAAGAGCTGGAGCAGCAGCTGGGCCAGCTCCTCGCGCGAGCCCGCCGCCTCCAGCTGCGCCTGCGAGACGCGGCTCTGGAATCTCAGGTGACACCGGCACGCCCTCAGCTGGGCCTGGTCCAGCTCGTCCAGGACCTGCAGCAGCCTCAGCGCCTCCGCCGCCATCACCGCTCCCTGCGGGGCGGGCTCCCGGCAGGAAGGAGCCGCGCCCGGCGCGCTGGTCCCCGCCACTGAGGGGCTGGCTGGGGCGGGGGGCGCTCCAGTGTACTGCACGGCCCGAACCGGAGCGGCCGTGCATGCCGCGCGGGGAGCCCCCGCAGGCTGTCAGCGGGGGCAGGCGGTGGCAAGCGCTGACCAGGAGGCGGCGACCACCCGCAGGTGCCCGCGGCGAGCGCCGACCGCCGGGGGTGCGCTGCCACAGCCAGGCACCCGCCTGCACCCCGACGCGTCGCCAGCGGTAGCGCCCTCAGCCCCTGTCACGCCTGTTGCGCTGGCATCAGTTCTTCTGGCCTAGGAGAGTACTGTCCCGGATAGCGCTAGCCTACGGCAAAATTAGTCAATTTACTGCACCCTGATACCTGGGCATGTGTACACCAGGCTTTACTGCAGAGCTAACTCGCCACGTGTAGATGGACCCATGAAGCTTGTTTGCTTCAGCGGCCTCAAACCCAGCCCCAGCCCCAGCCCCAGGCAGGAGAACCCTACCGATGCTCATTAAGGGCATTCATTAAGGGCTGCCAGTACCCCAACTATAAGCTGTCCATCCTATTATCTTCAATTCAGGGTAAAAATAACAAAAAGTGAAATTATTGAAGAGCTAGCTTTAATTGAAGGCTACCAATACCTTCCCCAGCAAAGGGAGAGCTCTTTCTTTTATCTTTTATAGGAAAACAGATTAAATATGAGGCCATGGCACAACGGATGGAATCATCAGCATTTTCTTCTCCTAAACCATGGCTTTCCTATGACAATGAAAACTGTCTTGTCTGTTTTGTGTTGTTTGATTTATTGTTGCTATTAGAAGTGTATATGCATATTAATATCATGTAGATGTAATAGAAATTGTTGTACATACACCATCTGAAAGTTAGAGTTGTCTGTGGATCCTAGACCAGGACACTTCCGTCCAATTTGGACTGGAATATGCCCTAATCCTTGGAGTAAAAAGTGGCATTTTATGTGGGAACTTAAGTAAAAGGCACCACTTGCATAGCCAGATGGTCTGATCCAGTAGGTCAAATCCAGTTATAGAAAGAAGCCTTCATCCACTCCACTGTCTTCTCCTTGCCTCTCCCCATTCAGGCCAGGGAAAAGCTCTTGAACAGAGCTCACCTCCTGGAGAGCAGGCATTACATGCCTAAAGCCTACATTTTTCCCTTTCACACATGCATTATAGGCATCACTAGATTCTTGAGTGACTGACTGAACACTACTTTGTGAACTTTTCAACTAACTAGCTACACCAAAATTTCCCTTAAATTTGGTAGGCTAAGGGAAACATGCACAAATGTGCCTGCCTGACACGTGGATATTTTCATGTGACAGGTCATCAGTTGCAGCCATACATTTCCCATATCTGTTCCCTCCTTCAAAACTGGGGGCAGTGGCTCTGTGCTAATTTGAAGGATTGGGACTTTGAGCTCTTGCACTTTGGTGCTGCAACTGGTAGGGAGGGAGTATCTACTTTCCAGCACATTCACACAGCTGTTAATGATATCCAGTGGAGATCTGGGCCATCTACCGGCATTAAGTACCAGAAATTGCCTGCCCATATGTCCGAAAAGGGAGTACCATATAGAAGAGGAAGCCAGCTTGACTTCTGCAAGAGCCACATTTCCAGGACTGATGACAAGACACTATCAACTACATAGGCATTTCTTTCCTGAAATGGTTAAGGAGGCTTGAATTTCCCATAGCCTCTCCCTCCAGAAGGAATATTAAATTAGAAACCCTGTGCAATGCAGGTTCTTCCATCATCTATTTGGTTGATGTTACCACAAGAGATAATAAAACTCCTGTGAACTGGCACTTACCTTGTTCAGTTGAAAGCCTGTTGAAATGTGAATAAAACTCCACAGGCTTGAGCTATGACCTAATCTGAGACCTACCTCATAGCTACCATGAACTATGCAAAACCCCCCATGCTGGTCATCAAAATTGGAGCCAGAGCCACCAAACCAGGGCCACTGCACTCATGCAGCTCCCCCTTCCCTTTGCAGCTGGGCCTGGCAGGATGGGGACAGGAACAGGGGCATGCCCCCCTTTGATCCTCCACTCCGTCCCCTTCCTGCCTCCCAAGGCAGATGCCAGACTTTTTGGGGATGGATACCCCAGCAATGGAGCACAGTGCTGGCCCCTTCCCTGCAGTGGACCCTGAGGCATGCATGGCAATGAGCTGGCATGGTACAACTGTTTTTAAACTGGCAATTATTTTGGGAGGAGGGCTGCTTACTGAGTTTTGGCACACTATCGAGGGCCGCATGACAGGCAGCCGGGGCAGCTTAATATTTATTTTCTAATTTTCTTAGGGGTCCCGCAGGCTGGATGCAATGGCCTGGAGGGCTGCATCTGGCCCGCGGGCTGCACTTTGCCTGCCCCTGTCCTAGGCCCATCCTATGAGCAGCCCCAAGGCTGGAGGTGTTGGGATTTGGATGCCCCTGCTTGATCTTAGGCGGCAAGAGGCTGAGGCACTTAATTCGATCTGAGCCAAAAGGCCTGCCTTCCCCAGCAGGTGGCGTAGGAGCAGCTTGGCAAGTGCCTGGCTGGACACTTTCTGAGCTGGAAAAGCTCCTGGAGGACGCGGGGCAGGCTGAGGCTGAGGCTATGCTAGCTCGGCAGGGGGAGCAAGGGGCGGGGCTGGGCCCAGCAGGCCTGGAAACTTGCTGGGCGGACACAGCCCACCGGCGGACACCGTCAGCAAGGCCGTGGGCGCGAGTGACTGGGCAGCGTGGACCAGCAGGAGCCCCGCCGAGGCGCGGGGAGCAAGCGGCTGCCATTCCCGCCTTTGTTTTACACAGCCCCAGCACGGCTCTGCGGTTACTTTTGGCTTTGGAAAGAAGCGGCCCCGCCGAGATTTGCACAGCTGTCAGGGCTGGCTCTCGGGAGCGAAGCTCGCTTTTCCCCGCTCCGGCCAGACGAGGCGCAAGTGGGGCTGGGGAACCGGGCAGCCGAGCCCGGGACTGCTCCTAAGCTCTGAAGTCGGCCTCGTTGCTTGATCCGGTGTCTGAAATGCTCCAGAAATCCCGACCTCTGCTCCAGGCTCCGGATGTAGGCCAGCAAATGGGAACACTGCTGGTAAGAGCGTGGAGGGGAGCGCGCTCCTCGGGCGCCCGCCTCCCCGAGCGCGGTCTTTATGGGTGTGGGAAGGCAGTCGGGAAGGAGAGGGTTTTCCGTAGAGTCTTTGTTTAGATCTCTAGAGCTCTGTATCTAGATCGATCGGTCTGTCTGTCTATCACACCCCAAGGGGGGACCAGAAAGCACAGCCCTGTCAGGGGGGACTCAAAAGGAAACCGCCTACACTTATATAGAGATGTCTATCTAGATCTAAATAAATATAGAGATGCATCGAGAGAGAGAGAGAGAGAGAGAGAGAGAGAGAGAGAGACAAGTAGCAGCATGGCGAGGAAAGGGTTAACCCACGACTCTTCGGGGCTGGGGGAGGGTTCTCCCCTCCTTCCTCCCGATTGGCTGGGACAGGAGGTGTGTCTGGACGTCACTTCCGCTCCGGTTCTCACTGGGGCTCGGCTGTGGAATGGCAGAGCCGCTGCCGGAGGAGCGGATTGGTGTCGCGGAGCAGCTGCCGGCTGCGTGGGGCGGGGTTGCCGAGCTCCGCGCCGAGCGCTCGCAGCCTCTTCCCGTAAGCTAAGCGGGTCGGGGCTGGATGGGGGGACCGGGCCAGAGGCCTGCGCTGCCCGTGGCGAGGTCCCGTGTGGCCGGGGGTAAAACCAGCCCAGCCAGCCGCGTTGGTTGGACTAGCACGGGCTGGAGGAGTGCATCAGCGCTTTCAGCAGGGTTACAATGCGGGCTGAGCAGGGCCTGGCCGCAGTCCTTCAAAGCCCTGGTCCTGCCAGCATGCGTGGATGCTGGGGCCTGCCTTCCCCAGGGGCTCCGAGTCTCCCTGAGTCGCTCCCTTCTGTCATGTCCAGCGGGTGGGAGGGTTTCATCAGGTGCCTGTGGCTTAAGGGTTTGCAAAGCCATGGAGCTCGCTGTGGAGATGTCCCTGCTGCTCAGAGAGAAGAGGAAGTGTCTTGCTTTGAGCTGCAGCAGAAATGCTGTACAAAACCTTCGTTTCCATATTTGTAAATTAGCCAGACATCTAAGCAGAGTGGTTAATTAATGTTCAGGGTAGAAATACAAGAACTATCCAGCAGCATGCTCCAAACAGTTACTACTGCACGTACAACAGTAACACCAACAGGCCTCAGTAAAGGATTGGGGCTCCCTGGTGCTCTACACACCTTAAATGCACAAGGTTGCTTCAGTCACCATGAAGGTAAAGAGGTACTGGGGTGTAATAAGATAACATCAACAGCTTAAACTGGCTAAAACACGAAGAAAAGAAGGTCATGGGGTTTCAAGTGGGAAGCTTTTTGTAACAGTTTCTTATACTGTAATGTGTACGTAGCTTGCAAGACATTCTTGGGTTTTTAGGTTTGAGAAGTACGGCAAGATTTTTAAGAAGCCTTTGTATCTTCTGCATTTCTTGATAATATCTCCCTTGCTGTCCTCAGAACAAAACACTGGCTAGTTTGTTTTTTTAAAAAAGAAAGTGAGAATTAGCATGAATGGGACTGCATATGTGGGAAACCCAGTTGTCTAAGGCAGTGGTTCTCAACCTTTTTTGTACCAGACCCATTTGTAAGTATCAGTGGCCAGTCCTGACCCAGTGCCCCTCACTCCCAACCTGCTGCCCCCAGGCCCCAGCCCCCCACTGTATAGGGCAGGGGGTAGGTGTATAGGTGATGGTGGGCCCTAAGTAGTGCCAGCCTGCAAGGGGAAAACTACTGTTTCACACTTTTTCTCCTTTAAAGGAGACTCCATTTTTTGTTCGCGACCATTTCATATATTCTTGCAACCCTCTTTTGGGTCGTGACCCATGGGTTGAGAAATGCTGGTCTAAGGGAACTCAAATGCCTTGTCCTTTTTACTACTTTTCCCATTCTCATGAAAGAGCTTGTTGTTATCCTGGATGCACAGATGTCTAGTGGGAGTCAGCTGTCAAGGGAGGAAGGGCATCTTGATGTTTAATATTGTAAGAATAATGATCCTCAGGAAATCTCAGGAGTCATCTGCAACCTATTAGAGAGAGAGATGGTCCCAATTAAATATTAGAAGCTACTTGGATATAATTTATCTAAGAAGACTTGCTGTTAAAAAACACTTTGAGAGCAGCTGAAAACCTGCTTGTCACAAGGTTCCTGGGATGGGTCCCCTTGCCAAAGTTATGTTAGCAGGACGTGTTATTTGATGTGACTGTTTGGAGGGCATAGAAACTCTTTGTTCATATAAATCATGTGAGGTGGCTTTATTGTAGACTACTTAAACTTCTTTTTTCATGGGTTTTTTCGGCTGTTAAAGTGCTGTGAGGGGAAAAACAAAACTGCTTTTCCACAGTCTCTGGATTTCTTGCTGAGGAGACAAGTTAGCCTTGCAGATTTTACAGTAAGATAGCTTATGCGTGTCACTTATCCTATGGTAAAAGACTCACTGAAGCTCAGGAGCACAGTCACAGGCTCCCCAGTCACAATCTTGTAGCCTGTTTAGTGTATGTTGTTCTTTTATATCAGGCACTGGAGAGTCGTGAAGCTGAAGGAACTACAAGAAGAATATTGAGCCCAGTGTTCAGATCCCAGATAGCTGGCAAGATCCCACAATGCTTGAGTGGGGATATGCTTTCTCGCTATAAATACATCAGGGAGAGAAAAGAACAGGACATCGTTGACACCAGATTTGGTCATAAATGGTTCTAAATAAATATAGTCCAGAAATGAGAAACAGGCTTGTAACTGAAAGGAGCCTGTTCCAGAGTCTTGCTTGCAGTAGGGCTAATGGGGCCCAAAACTTTACTGCTTCTGAGATGGAGTTAGGTCAGTTTCTGAAACTGGTTTCTGAAAGTGGTTGCCTAAGACAGCATGGAACTGTTGCAGTGACGCAGGAGATCCCTCCATGCTATGTTTCTGTGCTGTGTAACATATCACTTGGCTTTTTAACTCTTGCACAGTTCTTAACAAAGCTGCCACCTTTATGATGGGTTTTTGAAAAGTCCGGATTTCTTTTTCAGATGCATCCGGTGCTGAAGGCTTTTGTATGTGGTTCCATCAGTGGGACCTGCTCTACGCTTCTATTCCAGCCCCTAGACCTGATCAAAACCCGGCTGCAAACCTTGCAGCCATCCATCAATGGGTAAGTGCTTGCAGCTTCTGTCATGATGGTCTCATTTTCTTGTTTGCTAAGCTGTAGAGCTGATGGGTATCAGTCACATGTTGCTGGCTGCTGAGCAGGTGTATGAGAGAGAGGGGCTTTCGTAGAACAGTGTCTGTATGAGGAGCAGTATGGTGTGTTGCTTTAACATTTTTGAAAGATGGCAGTGAAATCCTATTCCCAAGAGTTCTGTCCTATCTTTTCCATGCCATAGGTAATCCATTGTTTATTAGCTGGATGTCTGTTTGTGGCGAAGCATGAGCGGGGTGCTCACCACTTAAGGGCTGTTGCTGGCTCTGAGTGAGCCTGCTTTGCAAGCAGCAGGGAAAAGCCTCCCCACCAGGAACCAATTTTAAGGGGAAAGGTGGGTGGCAGGGCACCGTTGGTGCCTATTACTGTCAGGAGGAGAACAGGCGGTGGACGGGTGCAGGACAGCTCTGATGAGGTGGCCATTTTAAGATCCTGCCTCTCTGGGCTGGGGAGCAGTTTGCTGCCAGCAGCTGAGGGAGCAACACCAGCTGGCTGCTCTGCTGCTCAAAGGACATCTGGGAGGTAAGGGCAGGAGCTATGGGGATGGCAGGAGACTCCTGGGCATGACCTGAAACTGCACCCTGCCAGGGAAAGGTGGCCTGGTGGGACTCCCTGTGGTGAGGGAGTCCTCAAGACATGCCAGGCCAGTTACCTGGTGAAAGGCTGATAGGGGTGTCTTAACCTCATCCCTCACCATCCTAGTGGGTTATAACATCAGAGGGGAGTGGGGCCAGGCACGCCCATGGGAAACACCTGGTCCCAGAGTGGGTAGTGGGGCCAGGCACATCCAAGGGTGGCACCGAAGGCCATAGGGGTGTAAGACCCTGGAGAGGAGTAGTGGGGTGAGGCACGCCCATGCAAGGGGCACCTGACCCACTGGGTTGTAAGTCTCTGGAGCCCTGGAAAGGGGTGAGAGAGTGAGGTTGGGGCCCTGGGAGAAAGGGGCGGAGAGATCCAGGTAAGCCTTAGGGTACCTGGGGCCGCAAGTGGGCCTGAGGCTGAGTGAGGCGGCAGAGAGAGAGAGAGAGAGAGAGCCATGAGTGAAAGGGGAGAGTCACTAACCCCAAATTGAGAACCAGTGGGCTGTGTTACTTGGTGAGGGCCAGGGATGGAGTTGGCCCAGTATTTGGCTAATTGCCCAGCCACTCTTCAGATTGGGGTTGCGGGAGAGGCCCAAGAGGCTGTGCCAGGGCTGGCCGAGCAGTGCAGAGTCAAGCTTGATGGCCCTCTAGGATTGCTCAAGGGAGCAGGGCAGGGTGAATGAGGTCCAAAAGGGAGCATGAGTGGAAGAGGCCTGGTGAGAACAGGTGGAGTGCTAGAGGCCCTGTATATGGCAGTGTGTTAAACCCTGTATAGGGTAGTATGAGAGAAGCCTAACACTGAGCTGAGCTGGGCCCAGCCTTAAGCCAGACAACTCATGGGAACATCAGCGAGGCATGGGATACGATAGGGGGATGTAGGAGTCATGTGTATACCGCCCTTTAACATAAGGGCGCTCGAAGGGCCGTCTCCCGCCTAATTACCATCTTTAATTTACAACAAGGCGTGGCAGATGAGTAAGGTAGGCAGCTTGCCCAAAGACAGGCAGGTGGGCCAAACTGGGCCTGGGAGATTGTCCCCTTCCACACTGTTATATTATGGAGAATCCTGTGCAATTGCTATACTCTTTTCTGGACATAAGGTGTGACAAGAGTATCAAATTTAGGTAGCTGTGTCCATTTGCCTAACATAATGCCTGGTATTAGTCCACTCCAATGATGATGAATGACAGTCACCAATAACTTAGTTGCTCCTATGGGGTTATCATGAAGAAATGTCATAATCAGTAGATAAGCAGTAGGAATGACCATGGCCCTATGAACCTTGGATGAAGAGAGCATTGATTGGACAAAGAGGAATGGCAGAATAGAGGTGGAGGCTCAGAGGTGCTGTAGTTAATGCACAGAGAGGTATATCTGGGAAGTTCTGGGTGGATGAAGTAGGACTAGGGTTGGGCTGTAGAGTGGGTTCCAGGGAGAATAATTTTAGTGCAGCCTCTTAATTCTTTTTTTTTAATTCCAGGTCACATCGTGTGGGGATGGTTGCTTTGCTCTTTAGAGTTGTTCGCACTGAAAGCCTCCTGGGGCTCTGGAAAGGGGCCTCTCCAGTAAGTGACTATTACTCTGTGTGTGGGGTGTGGGGGTGTGCGTGTGTGTAACTATATGGGGTTTTTTTGTTTTTTACCCACCATCAAGTGGTACTTATGGTTCAGCTTTTGTTAAAGGTCTGGAAGTGCTGCTTTGCTCACTGCTGCAAACGTCTAAGTTACTTAGGGGCCAATTGATTGAGCTATTTAAGTGCCTAGAATGGGACTTAGCCATATGAGTCACTTAGGTCTTACAGTGCTCAGTGAATCAGCACCTAAATCTTGCCATAAAAACCTGGAGTATATATTTATAGTGGTGGTGCACCAGCTGAAACTCATGTCAGGTGTTGAGTGTGCACATTGTTGGGGATTGCAATAATTTCTGTTTATCTCACTTTTCTACAGTGTACCAGTTTTTTCCTTTGCCTCATAGCAGATTTTAACACAATGTTCCATAGAACATGAGAAGGGGAAAATCACTATCTCCAATTTTCACTCTTCACTCTGCAGTCCTTTGCAAGATGCATCCCTGGGGTTGGAATTTACTTCAGCACCTTGTACATGATGAAGCAGAAGTTTTTCATGGATTGCTCCCCCACAGCTCTAGAGTCGGTCTTTCTGGGAGTAAGCTCTCGCACAGTAGCAGGGGTTTGCCTGCTTCCCATAACCGTAGTAAAGACACGGTATGAAGTAAGTGTAAGCCTTTGTTTTCCTCTTATTACCCTTCTGGTTAGCTTTTTTTGTGTTGATTCCATGCCCCTTCCTATAACAAAATGGAACTTCTGCTTGGGAGATATGTGAGTGAGAGAAAGAAGTGGAGATCCTCTGTGCAGCATTTGAGCACCTAAAACAGAAGAAGCAAAGTTCAAATGCTAGCTAGACTGAAAAATTGTACTTACTGCTTTTGTGATGCAAGAACTCTCTCATGAGTAGGTAAAATATTTCGAATACCATCATAGCAAGGGTGAGCAAGGTGACTATCTCGGGCATTAAGCCTTGTTAGTAATAAATAGGTATAGTATTATTACCGGATATTAGGGATTAGTTCCATTGCACAAGTTTGCTTCATAGTACTGGCTGTGCAGGAGATAAGGGTCAAATTCCACTTTTAATAGCTTGTTTCCTTCTGGAAACTGTTGTAGAGGCAACATGATTAATTCTCTGAAAGGATTGGGTTTAATCTTTTCATCAGATGAAAATGGATGGAGCAGAATGTATTAATTGTTAGCAAAAAGTAACAGTAATGTAACTATTATATAATGCAACAAGTTAAAGTAGCATAACTATGGAAAAGCATATTGGAAGCTCTGCTGTTAACACTGTAGTGAGGCTGCGGCTCTCTGTTTGGCATGGGGTGTCTCTGGACTACTTCCTATTCCATCCCACCTGACATTATATGTGCTTCAGATTGTGTGTCTGGAAAATATGCTAATTATAGTGTAAGAAGCTGACCTTAAAATCTGGTTGGTTTCTGATGGTTCTGCCTCTTTGGGCATCTGTTATAACTGCCTACCTGTTGTGGTGTCACCCAGGGACAGTGATGTAAGTGCTCCATTTGAGTATAGGTACATGATTTTACATTAAAGCTTTCCTCTTGAGGAGGCACTGTATCTGGAATGTTAATAATTGGTTTTATGTGCCATCTGCAGAGTGGAAAGTATGGCTACAGGAGTGTGTATGGAGCCCTGAGGAATATCTATCGAACAGAAGGAGCTCATGGCTTGTACAGTGGGCTGACAGCAACACTCCTGCGGGATGCACCTTTCTCGGGCATCTACTTGATGTTCTACACACAGACCAAAAAAATCACTCCTCAGGGTAAGGATGAATATGCACATGATAACACAAATCTTCCTTCTCCTTACCCCCTGCACTTCCAATATACAGCTCATTTTGCTTTAATTATTCTGTCCTTGTCTCGGGAGGTGAAATTCTCTGAAAGGACTTAGGTGGTGCTTTTCTCTGTCACTTCCAGAGAACTATAAGTTTGTCCTGAATGAGGTCACATGAAAGGATGAACTAGCCTTATGTTGGTGTTCAAGGGATTTTAGTCTAGGTTACATATGGATAGGATCATGCTTTGGTGTGATCAGTTGCAACACCAAAGTTTCAGTTTCAGAACTTTTATAAGAGGCAGAAAATCCAGCAGCAATAACTTGCTCAGTGACGTGGTCAGTTGCTCAGTTTTTTTTATACACTGTATAGCTCTCTCCACTTCTGCAATCTCTACTAAATTATGACTTGCTCAATTTGTTTTGTTTTGTTTTTTCCCCTTGGCAGCCTCTGCCATTGAAAACACTCTGTCTTTATTTCTAGGTCTCTATCTCAAACCCAGTTTCAGTGGAAGTGATTTCCCCCCCCCCCCTTTTTTAACGTACACCAATACTGATTTGAGTCATCTGTTAGTTTCCAAGTTTTCTTTTAAAAGTTCTTATTTCTCTCATTATTTAATAATTCAACAACTGTTCAGTGTGGTGTACAGATTGTAGGAAAAGTCATGTGCTGCAAAGTAAGATTGAGCAGTATGTAGAAGTTTTTCTTTTTGTTCCATTTCAGATCAGTTGGATCCAGCCCTCATCCCCTTAGTGAACTTCAGCTGCGGGATCTTTGCAGGAATCCTGGCTTCTTTGGCTACGCAACCTGCTGATGTTATCAAAACTCACATGCAGTTGTCACCTGAAAAATACCGCTGGACAGGCCAAGTCATTGCCTTAATATACAAGGTGAGCCTGCGTTTGTTTTAAAAACATGGCAAAACTCGGATTTTTCTCCTTAAAATGAGAGAACCTGGGAAATGGGTTTCCTCTTGCAGGCTGGCAGAGTACCAGGGCCCAGGTAGGGAGCAAGACGGAGCTGTAGATGGCTCCCACCACACCACCCCCTAGAAGAGCAGTCTCCCTCACCGTGTGCATTCCTGGGGTGGGGTTTGGGGAGCAAATGCCCCCCAGATTTGTGTGTGGGGTGGGGGCAGGCTGTCACGCTACCATGGTGAAGTGCCCCTGCCTGCCCGCCCGGCAGTAATGGGGGTGGCAGCACAGAGGGCACCTCGCCATAGTGGTGTGGGGCTCGTGGGGGTAGCACCTGGCCCCAGTCTGCCTTGCCCTGCTATGCTGGGTCCTGCCTATTGGGCTGTGGAGACATCAGGAGGGTTGGGGGGGGTGTCATTTGCCCCCCATGCCCCACCCCGGGATTGAACGCAGAGGTGGGGAGCCAGCCCTGCCACCCTGGCCAAGCCTGCAACGGGCAGCCCACATCTGCCCCCCTTCCACCCCTCATGGGCTCCATTCTGTCTGTGCTGCCCAGGGGGCAGCTGGGGCTTGGGTGCTGCTGTGTGTGCTCGGGGGCTGTGGACCTAGGTCCCTGGCAGCTGGGGACCGCTCCGGCAGGGCTAGAGCAGCAGGTGGCTGTGGGTGAGGAGTGAGAGGCAATGGTATGGGCTGGGTACCGGCATATTGGGGCTGCTCAGTACCACAAAGCAGTGAGGGGGAACAGCTGTAGCTGGACCCCCGTCTTGGTGAATAAAGGGTGCAGGGGGAGCTCTGATTTCCGCCCCCCCCCCCCC